GATCACCGCTTACCTGCTGATACCGCTGATTCTTCTCAGCTGGATACCCGATTTGAAATATCTCGCGCCAGTTTCAATGGTGGCGAATATTTTTATGGGAACAGGCTTAGGAATAACATTTTACTATCTCGTTTGGGATATGCCGGAATTGTCCTCAGTGCCTTTAGTAGCTACAATCGAGAACTTCCCACAGTTTTTCAGCATCACTATCTTCGCCATGGAGGCGATCGGCGTGGTGATGCCTCTGGAGAATAACATGAAGACGCCACAACACTTTGTTGGAATCTGCGGAGTTCTCAATAAGGGAATGTCTGGTGTTACGCTTGTTTACATTTTCCTCGGATTCCTCGGATACGCCAAGTACCAGGACGAGACGCTGGGTAGTATAACTCTGAATCTACCGACGGAAGAAATGTAAGTTCAACATTATTTCAATTCATGTGATAGTACGAGTGTTTGTTTGATTTTTTTTTTTATATTTTTATCGTTACTTATTTTACAGAGCGGCGCAAGTTGTAAAAATACTGATCGCGCTGGCCGTTTTCTGCACCTTTGGTCTGCAGTTTTACGTATGCCTTGATATCGCATGGAACGGCGTAAAGGAGCGCTTCGAGAAGAAACCACTTTTAGCTAACTATATTGTAAGGACAGTGCTGGTAACTGGTGCAGGTGCGTATGTTCGGGAAAATATCATTTTTCAAATATTTTAAAGACTCTTGATGATGTATACTTGATCTATACTTGATGAGATAATCATATATATTACAGTTCTCCTCGCTGTTGCGGTGCCGACGATCGAACCATTTATCGGCCTAATCGGTGCATTTTGCTTCTCCATTTTGGGTCTTCTCATTCCGGTTTTCATCGAGACCGTAACTTATTGGGATGTCGGCTTCGGACCAGGAAACTGGGTAGCCTTGAAGAATGTAATTATATGCGTGATAGGCCTGATGGCTCTAATATTTGGATCGCGCAGTGCCATAATGGATATAGTGAAATTGTACGCTTCCTAGAAGAAGTACTTTTCGTATCTAGTGCAAATGTTTTTACGGATATATACGCAACGACTTTTCTACCATGTCTCTAAGTCTATCCCCAATACGGCTAACGATATTTTAGATATTTTAGAATGAATCATACGTGACGTTACGCTTATAGGCGGGTGTCAATGAACTTCTTGGCAGAATCGATGTATTTAAGTATATATTTAATGTATATATTTAACCCCGATTTTCTGATATACTTCCAGGATCTTTTGAATCTTGGAATCTCTTGAAAGTATCAAATATGTAGATTCATTCTGATCCTAATAGGATCTTTTTCGGATATTTAATCTTTCGGAGATGTATTCTTTGTTCTTACACTTGCGAATGTTTTGTGTGAACAAATAATACAGAGATCTATCAAACTTCTAAAATAACGTATCTATACATACGTCTATTTGTCTTCAACTTCTGATCTATGCGTTATAGATCAGAAGTTGAAGACAAATAAATTTAGGTAATGGCAGTATTTACTCAGCAGGAGAAAATGCAAAGCAATGAATGAATTGTCACGATCGTAATTCAAATGTATCCTAAGAAACACATAGAGTTCCTGTAGGAAATAATTTTTATATTATCAGAATATCATATTGTCCAATTCTACATAAAAATTTCGCATTTACAAAATTATGTTAAAATCTTCTCAAGTTTCTCAAGTTTATAATTAAAAATATTTTAATTGATTAATCTACAAAAATGATTTTTTACAATTTTACTCCGTAAAAAAGATACTTTAATGAAGTAGCATATTTTTTGCTAAATTCGCTCAAGTGCACAATAAAATATATCAATTTACATTTTAATGTATGATGTCATAATGTAAAAAATATTTTCGCGATAGAGACAATTGAAGAATTAGGAAATGCATTCCAACAAAAACAACAGAAGTTGCTATTTATACAGAGAAAAATCATTGCTCAAGTAAAATGTGTTACGCAGTGTCTTTCTGCATTGCATTTAAAATTCAAACATACCTTTTGAAATTGATATACAGGATACATAAATATATATATGTACTATTTTCCTCCCCTTTTTAAGAGCAAAGAAACATTTGTCAAAATTCTAGTGTAGTCAAAATTTTTTATTATTTATGAGTTGTAATACATGGCACTAGTTGGAATTATGTAAAATATAAATTTTACATTTTGTAAAAGCGCTTTTACTCTCTTTGACTTATTTTCAGCTGTTCACCTTATACGAAACACCAACATGTTGCCATGATCTAATTACATTTTACTCAAGTCGTAGAAAATTAAAAAAAAATAATTTCAATGTTATATTAATAAAACAGATTTTTAATTATTCTTCACTTACAACGTATAAAACGTGTTTATACACAAATACATAATTAAAAATACAAATACATAATTAAAAAACTGAAATGTTAGGATTACAAAATAGGATTTTGATTGTTTTTGGTGCAGTTCTAACGTTATTATATACATCAGGTATCTCGTGATCGATCGATATATTAACAAATTAGTAATAGTGTATCATCCAAAAATTATTTCTCTAGTGGAGCATAGTTAAGTAACTTCTCAATTAAATCTACATGTCCAAGCAGCATTCTGCGACAGCAATATCTTTTCAGACCTAACGCATCCAAGGCATCTCTATAACACACAAATCATCCTTATAATTGTACCATTTACTTCTTTTATTTAAAATATGTTATTAAAATAAAACAAATACAGTTATCAAGAAAAACGTGCCAAAATATTAATACAAGTCACTTTTGAGGTTAGAAATCAGAAAATGTCTCACCCCTCAGTATATTCCGCTTGAAGAAGGCCCAGATAAGCTTCCCACTTGTTGCCAATGACTTTTCCACAAGTGAAGCACCGTACGGGAATGATCATTGTGATAGCTTTCGACTTAACTTTATTTATTTCAGTGTTTTCTTATGACAGAAATCCAAACCCGCCGCACGTGGCAAGATACGAAATATATCAGTCACCGGCGTCGGAGGCGCCACCGTGATCCGTGAGCAACTTCAGAATGATTTCGTTACTGCTGAAAACAGTTCTTGTAATTATCGTGAAATTTGTTTCATATGATTATTATTACATATATAATAATAACAAAGCTCAACAGAATATCAGGAAAATATAACAAAAAAATTCCAAAAATCTTTTTCCCTCTCTTTTTTTTTTAACCAACCGCAAGGCGCTGAATCGATTGACAAAGCCAGAGGCCAATAGCATAGCGAGAACGCTCGACTTGCACGCCATCGACGACAAAGGTGCAAAATAAAATGAACATGGCGGATTACAGATCGCTCTCTCTTACACGAGCGGCTCAAAATCGTCCAAGCGTTTCAATTCAAGTAATTAAAAAATCTAGGATTTTATTATTTCTTTCTTTCATTTACAAGTAACAAGATCGATATTATATTTACAATTATAATAGAGATAAAGCTTAATCTTTTTCGAACATTTTTAGTGTTTATTCCTCTGGAGCGACGGTAGAGAAAGTTGATTGACATTATCGATAGTTGATGACGTATACATCTTTTTCTCAATTCCTCAGATCCGTTGACCTGAGATGACCCAAACGGTAACAGTAACACAAAATTTTATATCACTCGGGACAGATTATCTTCTATATCTATTCTATTATTTCCTCTGTGACACAAGTTGAAAGTTTTAGGCAAACGCGGCCGCCATTCCTGTACGCGCATTCTATCGCACACAGTAACCGAGCCGCGAGGACTGTCGACTGTGGGGAGAACAGCTGCGATCGAAGGGGCCGCGATGGCTGGCGGGAGCGCGCGTTTTCGCGAGAAGGGGGAGACGCGACCGATGGCGGTGCTAGTGGCAAAGGGGGGCAACGGGGAAAGGAAACCGCGCGATCCGGATAGCGGTGGCGAC